CCTTCTGGCCTCCCGTGCCTTCCATTTCATTTTGGCCATTATAATCACATCCATTTGGCTTTGACATTGCATCTCCCTTCTGTGGTGGTGACAGTAGGTATCCCTCCTGTTCTGGAATGAGGTGGTCAACGTCATAGTTATCTCCAAGTTGGGTGACGAGAAGGTACAGTCTGTTTTGTCCTGAAGAGTACTAGGCCAGCGGGGGGGGGGCACAACGCCCGTGACACTGCTCTCTTGTGAGCTCAGTGGCTCTTCTGTCACTAAGTGGCAGATTATTTGTGGAGTGTCTCCTTTTCAGAGAAAAGACCTCATCAAGCCAAACCAGCAAACCTTCCAAGTACTGTAATTTAAAAGGATTCTTTCGCCATGCATTTTGTGTAGTTTCAAAGCAGCTGACTGGACTGCTGGAGTCCTGCTGCTTTCACAACCCAAATTGTAACTATTTATTGTATCCCATGGGAGGTTAGTTCATGAGTGTTTCTGCCTTTGTCTTCCCCAAACAACTTCTAATGACCTCTAGAAAGAACAAGCCCTCTTAGAAAATGTTTTGTTTGTCTTTTGGGGAGGGAGGAAGAAAAGAGTCCTTTTTGCCTGCTTTGAGAAGCAGAAGACTGAGTTTGCTTCTATGATGCAGTTGTTTAACTCTCCGCCCTGCTCCTTGGCGTTGGCAATGGTCTGTGCCTGACGCCTGCATTCCACCCCCTCCCACCCCCGCAGTCTGCTCTCTGCAGGTATGGGATAGTGTTCGGAGCCACTTGGGTTTGTCTGTACTTCCTTCCCTCCATGTTACAGAAGGCACCAGAGGACCTTAAACTACAACCTTAGCAAGACCTTTCAGGAGTCTGTTTTGTAGATGGTTTTGTTTTTCTGACACTTCACCCCCATTTAGTGTGATCTGTAAAACTGTTCTGTCTTTCTTCAAGAAAGGACCTTTCTTGTTCTGTCCGTTTGCCTTCCCCATGGGGACTGGGGGTTTGGGTAATAAACTGATCAGAAAAAATGGGGACTCCTAGAAACCAATCCCTCCCCGCCATTTCCAGGTGCCACCCGCTAAGCAGACATACTCCAGCATGGTGACCGTAGCGTGCACACTGTTGGTTGTTTTTAATGAGCCTCTTCCCACTAGAACGTCTCACTTTCCCCGTCACCATACAATCATGTACTCTTTAACAGAAATTGCTTTTAAGAGAAATCTGGAACTATCTTTAAAAAGAAACCTTATTAATAATCATGTATTTTTACTGATCACATTTTGAAATGCCTAAAAGACTTTATTGCTCTAATTATCCAGATGTACCTTTGTAAAAAGCTCTTTTATGAATAGCTGATAAGGCTGTATGTTTCTGGAACAAAATATTGGGTCATCTAAAACTTTCTGTTTTCTGGGGTCTGGGAAAATAGAAAATAAGAGTTCAAATATTAAATAAGCTTAAAAGAACCGAGCATGTGACTTTTTATTTGTATGTATTCCTGTTTGTCTTGTGTAAGTTGTTTATTTTTTGAGACAGGGTCTCGTCCTAGGCTGGCCTCAGGCCCCTCCCTGCCTGTGCCTCCCAAGTGCTGAAATTGTGACTGTTCACACCACACCTGTCTAGACAAGTGATTTTTGAGAAACTGAGTGGACAAGGAGCCAGGAGCTAATCCCACTGGCAGTGAGTGAGTGACTCACATGTCTGTCCTGCTTCTTGTGACGTCTTTACTGGTGGGATGGGTCTTGGGATCACGGATAAGTACAATCCTCTGCATCAGTGCAGGCGGCTGACATCATCCTGGTAGCGAAGCAGTCTTGTCCCTGGTTTATAAGCAGTGGTGGGTTGGGCATGGCAGCACATACTTTTGATACCGATGGTCTAATCTTGGCAGTTGGGAGGCAGAGGCAAGCAGATCTCTTGAGTTTAAGGCCAGCGCTGACTGACTTCTTCAGGGACAGCAACTCTGTTTGCAGATGCCATTCACTCAGAAGGCTGAGTGACTTTTGGTATTTTCTGTATTTTGAAGCATAGGTGTAATTTCACTTATTCATGGGAGAGTAGTTTCAAATATTCTGGGGTACATTGGCTGAAAAGCCTATTAAGATGCTTAACAAAAAATGATTAGTATTTTGGAGTATGTTTTGGTTAAACCTTTTAGAAATTAGATTCTCCAAAGTTATCTGTACTCTAAGCCCTGTTAGAAATCAGCAGGGCAGGAGAGATGACTCAGTTTAAGAACATGCACTGCTTTCCCCGAGGACTGGAGTTCAGTTTCCAGAAACGACACCAGGAAGCTTATCACCATTGGTAACTCCAGCTCCATGTGATCTGACACCCTCTTCTGGCCTTCGTGGGCACTGCACATATTTTCATGTAGCAACCCCCCCCCCCCAAATGTACATACACAAGTAAAAATAAAAGTATATGTTTTTAAAATGAAAAGCCTGCACTCCTATCTCTGACGGCAAACATGCGTGCACCAGGACAGATAACTTGAATGCCATCCCCACTTGCTCTCAGCCAGCGTTTTAAAAATACAGAAAATGTGATTTGCATGTAAACAGTTATGGGTGCTTTTTACATTCCTCTTCAATAGTGTTATAATTAGTTCACCAAACATTTAATATTGATTTAATAATGCCTAGGCTGGGATGTAACTCGAGACTCTGGGTTCAGTCCCCATCATCATCAGGGTGTGTGTGTGTGTGGGTGTAGGTGTGTGCGTATTATGTCATCAAGGCTTTGTAAAGTGACGGGTTTTCACTGATCATCCAGGACATCCTGCGGGAATCTGGTCTAGCCTGCACTGCAGATGCGCAGCAGTGAGGAGCCACTGATTAGTCAGATGCCCGTCTTCACTCGCCACGCCTCCCGTAGCGCCACTTGCCACTGCTTCTTGTCATTAGTGCAGACGTCAACAGGACATAAACAGGAAACAGTGTTCTAGTCACTTTAGGAAAGAAATTGTTCTTTTCTTCCTAAGATGTGTCTATTTACTATATACACAGTGTTCTGCCTGCATGTGTCCCTGCAGGCCAGAAGAGGGCACCAGATCTAATTGCAGGTAGTTGTGAGCCTCCATGTGGTTGCTAGGAATTGAACTCAGGACCTCTGGAAGAGCAGTCAGTGATCTTAACCCCTCAGCCATCTCTCCAGCCCTAGGAAAGTAATTGTTGACCCCTTGATGTAACCAAGAGGTACACAGGCCACACAGCATCAGCATTCAGTTCCACCCCATCTTCGTCCTTGTCACGTGATCCTGACTGGGTTGCCCTCTGGGTTCCCCTTTTCCTACGTGGATTCTGCTGCCTACAGGATATTGAGCCAAAAAGCCAATTTATTATGCATTCACAGAAGGTCATCCTTACCAGATAGGGTGACACAAACTATGTAAAAGTATTAAAATTTCACACAGCTCTCTCCATATGAAAAACAAATTACAAAACTATCAAATTCCATTTGTGCGACCTCATGCAGGTTTTTGAGATTCAGTCTTAAACTCCAGTCTAATAAACAAAAATCCTTAAAAGACAATAGACTAAGTATAATCAGAACACACACACACACACACACACACACACACACACACACACACACACACACACACACACACACACACACACTGAAATGGCTGGGGAGACGACTTGGGCTAAAACAGTTGCTGGCCAAGTATGAAGACCAGAGTTTAGCTTCTGAGAGCCCACATACATGCCAGGTGGACTGGCAGCTTCCTTGTAATTCCAACCTCAGGCAGAGACAGTATTCCAGAGCAAGCTGGCTAGCGAGACTAGCCATATCACAGCTCTGGGTTTGATTGAGAACCCTTGCTGCCATGAAAAGATAGAGGAATGTCTGAAGATAATTCCACCATCAACCTCCACATGCATGCAGCATACTTGATCAAACAGGAGAATGGAAAAAGAAAACGATAGTGGCTTTCCAATCAACACATTTTGGATCTTTTTTTCAAAAACGTGCATAGGCATGTCGGTGTTCATATGTGCAGTGCATGTGTCTGCTCTGGATGCTAGAGGACAGCTTTGAGTGTCATAAACTCTACCCATCTCCTTTGAGACATGGCGTGTCTTCAACCGGGAACTGGTTGGCCACCGACTCGTTGGCCACCGAGCCCTACTGATCCTCCCATCCCCAGGCTGGGATTACAAGTGTGTACCACCCCAATGGTTCCTGTGTCCCCAGAATGTACTTCATATGCTTAGTAAAGTAGTAGGTTTTTCTTTTACACTTGCAATTTAGAATTTATTGATGGAAATAAAATATACACACAACTGGAAATGTTAGAGTTAAATACAAACCTATAGGGTAATCTTACTTTTAAATCCAGTTTATATCAGGTGTAGTGGCATATACATTTAATCCCAGCACCAGGGAGGGAGAGGAAAGTAGACAAATCTCTGTAGGTTCAAGGCTAGCCTGGTCTACATAGTGAGTTGTAGGGCCTACATAGAGCCTGTCTCAAAAAACCAAAAATAAAATCTGAATTTACTAGGACTGGGGCAATGGCTCAGTAAATGATACTCTCACAAGCCTGAGGACCCGAGTTAATTCCCCACACTCTTGTGAAAGGCAGGCAGGTTAGCAGAGGAAGAGCTGACCCTGGTTCCTGGGAGGATTGTCGAACTTTGTCTGAAGAGGGACAGTGAAGTCCTGTCTCCATTCCAGCTCTATCCTCAGCAATGGCCTTTTTGAAATGCAGGAAGTTAAATGACGAGTCCCCAGAATGTGAGCTAGCTGGACTGATGAGTTGGCCAGCTGACATGCCATCATAATGATGGTTCTAGCCTAGAGATAGCCCCAGAGAACTCAGATCTCATGCCATCATATTTACGAACTAACAGCTCAAGTGAAGAGAAAAGAGGTGGGATGAACCCTCTTTTTTTTTTTTTTTTTTTTAACTTCCTGCTCCTGAAAGCAAAAGACTCAAGTCTTAAGTCCCCAAGCTGCCTTTTTAGAAACTTCTTTTGTGGATACGTTCTAACTCGGGCAGTCAGTGACATTCAACTGTAATACATAAGGAATCTAATATTTGCTCCCTGTGGGGGGATTATGTGGAGAAGGCTCAGGATCTTTAAACATGAGTTATGATTAACTTACATGCTCAACTTTTTCCTTCATCTCTCTTCAAAGATACATTGAGCGGAACTGCAATCAAGGCCAGGCAGACCTAGGAGATGGAAATAAGACTCTTGTTATCCGGAGCCAGAATAGCTGGGCGCCGGTGACTAAAGAGGTCATTGATTAATTGGCTAACTTATTCCCAGCTTTGTTCTAGAAAACAAGGGCTTTGCTGAGTGTTTGATGATGGCTTGAAAAAGGAAAAAAAGAAAAGGAATAAGAAACATGGGCCTCGGGATCCTTGCAGTGTTTGTTACCAGGCTCTGTGATCTTTTTCTTTCCGACTGTCTGATGTTTCCATTGCTGTATTTCCAGTGTAACCAGGACATTTTGCCACACACCTCCACACTAAACACCTGCATAAACTGCTTCCTCTGCTCTCTAGGCTGCCACACATGTGACTATCCATTTGACTATCCCAAAGACATGGCCTTTACCATGCCACTTGCCTGCCCAAGAACCTACATGCCCTAGTGAGACTGAGTTGCTCAGTCTCTGAGACTGGTTCCTAATTTATCTAGCCAGCTTTATTTCCCTCCATGCCCCACTGTGAGCTCTTCTGAGGAAAATCTGCCTCCTTCCTGTCTCCCCAGTGTAGCTAGAGTTTTCCTGCCTGACCCACAGTCAGGACAAATCTCTCTCACCCGCCAGTCCCACAGCTGCTCAGACCCAACCAAGTAAACACAGAGACTTATATTGGTTACAAACTGTATGGCCGTGGCAGGCTAACTTGCTAACTGTTCTTACAGCTTAAATTAATCCGTTTCTATAAATCTATACCTTGCTACGCGGTTTGTGGCTTACCGGCATCTTCACATGCTGTTTGTCATCGCAGCGGCTGGCAGTGTCTGACTCAGCCTTCCACTTCCCAGCTTTATTCTCCTCCTTGTCCTGCCTATACTTCCTGCCTGGCCACTGGCCAATCAGCAACACACTTGACATACAGACCATCCCACAGCACCCCAGCCTGGTGTTCCAGGTCCTGCCTGCCTCTGCTCTACATCTCCCAAAGTCTGAATGCACCCACTTCTCTCCAGCTGTCAAGGTCCTGCTCACACTTTTCATTTCCGGTCACCCAGTTACTGCCCTCTGTGTGAAGTCTTCCTCGTGTCCCATCTGACCCCCTCATCTCAGTAATGTTAGTATTTTTGAGTGCTCATTCACATGACACAACGATGGAAAATATCAGTTCCAACTTACTGAGTATAAAATGTTTCAGGTGCTGTACACTGGACAAACACCACCTATCCTCTTTGTTGGGACCTGGAGGCAAGTGCATGTCACCTTTTTCACAGATAAGGCAACTGAAACTAGTAGTGATTCTGATGCACACCCTAACAGAAGCAGAATTCAAGACTTTGCCATTATTACTGGCTACAGAAATAGTTTCTTCCTTAGAAGTGCGTATAGTCAGTTAAACATTAGTGTACTACACCTGTAATCTCAGCACTCCAAAGACTGAGGCAGGAGGATCATGAGTATGAGGCTAGCCTGAACCACATAGTGACACCCTGCCTTTAAAAACAACTGAAGTGTTTGCAAATCCAATGTCCTGCAAGGCTGGGCAGGTGGCTCTGTGGGTAAAGTGCTTATTGCTCAAGCATAAGGACCCGAGTTTGGGTCCCCACACCCATGTCAAAGCCAGACCTGGTGGGTGACGCGTGTAATCCTAGTGCTGGGACCTGTGGGGCAGGCAGATCCTAGAGTCTTGCTGGCCAGCCAGTTTAGCTGAAATGGCAAGCCCTGGGTTCACTGAGAGAAAAGTTCTCAAGCTGCTAAGTCTGGTGACCTCAGTTCAGTCCTGTCTGTCACAGGGTCGTTTTCTGACCTTCACCGTGGTAAATGCCAGCACAACAAACACACAACAACAGTGAGAGTGAAAAACAAAAGAAAAAAATTAGAGTGGAGATCAACAGAGAAAGATGCCATGTGCACATAAGTACACACACCAGCACATGAAGGCATATATGTCACATACAGACACTTGTGTGCATGCACACATACATGCACACACAAACATGTTCATACACCCTGTTCCATAAAATTCACCACTTAGAAGTATGAAGTTCAATGGTCTTTGTATATTCTCATTTTCCAACCATAATTAGCAATTCTGGAACATTTCCTCACCACATCCCGCTAACATGCTCCCTTCTCTTAGCCTTTAGCAACTACTTTCTGTCCGTGGATTTATCTATCTGTGTTTCACACAGGTGGATCATATCTGATGTGGCCTTTCGTGACTCTGGCTTCCCAGCATAACGTCATCAAGGTTTGTATTGCGTGTGTCAGCATGCCACTCTCCTTTCAGCTGACAATATTGTATGGATGCATTTTGTTACCTTCATGTGCTGAGAAACTCTATAAAGCACTTGCGCTCCTGGCGTGAACCCAACTGGAATGTGTGGACCGAGTGCCACTTGGTCCTGCAGCTGCTGCTACATTTTCAACTTCCTGATGGACATGCCTAAATTGGTTCAGCACTGCTGACAGGACCTCAAGTTGGCCATAAGTGAACTGTATTTACCTTCAAGGCCCTTCCCCCACCACCTTTCCCTCCTCTTGATGGCAAGCTCAACCTCTCAGGTTTTCCAATAGTTTTAGCCCTTTCCACTACGCTGCTATCCTCTGTGCCTGTCTGCGGGTTACCTGTTACAACACTCTTCCCACGTCATCTCTGCCACATTCCAAGCTCTGGTTTAGATGTTACAGTAACCTTCCAAACTCTTCCTTTCCTGTTCTGCCCCACTCGGCAGGATCCAGCTGCTCAATCACTCTTCCTAAAGTCTAGCTATGCCATTCCCAAGATCAGATGCCTGGGATGAGGTGGAAATTTCAGGATTTCTAATCAATTTCCCGTTAGACAGCTACAAGTGAAGGTGAGGGATGGCAGGAAAGTGATGCAGGTCCTTGTCTTGTAAGACTCTGTGTGTGTGTGTGTGTGTGTGTGTGTGTGTGTGTGTGTGTGTGTGCATGCACGCTTGTGTGAATATATGTATGTGTCTCTGTGTGTGTGAGTGTGTGTGCTTTTGTGAGTGTTTGTATATGTCTGTGAGTGTGTGCGCTTGTGTAAGTATATGTATGTGTTTGTGTATGTATGTATGTGTCTCTCTGTGTGTGAGGGTATGTGTATATGTGCCTCTGAGTACATGTGTTTGTGTGCTTGTGTGAGTATATGCATGTGTGAGTGTATGTGTGTGAGTGTGTATATATGTGTCTGTGTATGCATGTGTGAATGTATGTGTGTGTGAGTGTGTTTGCTTGTGTATGTGTGCTTATGTGAATATATATATATATATATATTTGTGTGTGAGGGTGTGTGAGTGTATGCATGTGTGAGTGTATGCATGTGTGAGTGTATATATGTGTGTGTGTGTGTTTGTGTGTGTGTGCACGTAAGTGTTAAGCTGGAACCAGGTCCAGTGGCATATGTCTGCAGGCTCAGCTACTCAAGAGTCCAGAAAATTGAGACCAGCCTGGGCAGGATAGTGAGATTCAGTCTAAGAAAACAAATAGGTGAGCAAACTCCATTAGTCCTGAGGACATCACTCAGTGATAGAACATCTGTCTGTCGTGTATGGCACCCCATGTTGAACTCCAGTATGAAGGAAAACATCGGGAGGAAAAGAAGGTATTTCTCTGACCCAAACCCTAGTGATGACTCAGTGTTCCATCCTTCACCTGTGACACTGGGGCTGCTGAACTGCCACGGGCACTTGATGCTCACATGGTAGGAGAGTCTATTGTCTTGAGTCCATTGTCTCGGGTCTCCAGTTGTACAAAGATTCTAGGCTTTGGACACCAGACACTTCCTAACTTTCATCATCTGCACGGAGGGGAGGTGATAACAGCACCCACCTTGCAGACTGTTCTGAAGCCTCAGCAATACACACTGGAAGTACGCGGAGCCACACAGAGTATCCACTTGATGAATGGTGGCAATTAGTGTTCTATTATTTCTTGCCTACTCCTCCCCGCGTAAAATACCTTTGGAGAGCTCAATTATGCCCATTTTCTTAATTGCCTGAGAGCCTCAAAAGTCTATTGCATCAAGGTGAGGAGCACAGGTAACAACAGATTTGGAGTAAGCTATGAAAACGTATGGCTTATTTTGCCTTTCAAGGACCTTATTAAGATCTACGGGGTCAGTTTGCCAACGATTTTGTTTTTCCCTTCAAAAGGCAGGTACACTTGGTGGCAAGAGATCCAGAGTGCTCTTGGATCTGGACAGACTTGTGCTAGCCAGCCAGGAACCCTGGGAGCTTCCTGTTAGCTCCCCATCCCATTTCTGAACCAAGATCCAATACTACTTAGGCAGTTTTGCTCAGCATCGGGTTGCTGGCGTGAGCCGTCCAACCCATCCCCGTGGCCATTAGTAACTGGAAGGTACAACTAGAATCCGGTTTGTAAAGTGTGAAGGTAGAAAGTACGGTTTCCTCCAGCTGTCACCCTAACCTCCGACATCTTTCCCTGTTTGGACTGAGATTAGACAAGCGCTGTGAAATGATATGGTACCAGAATCCCAGACAGGAGACAATTTATTTAGGCTCAGTCATCTAGAAGATTCCATAACCTTTTATAAGCCATTTGTTATATTATGTGTCTATTGCAACCCTGGTGTTGGGTGAAGATGTCTCTTGTAGTGCTTCATAAAGCACTGTAATAAACCCAGTGGAAACAACCCTCAGTAGCTTTGCGCCAAGGGCTACCCCCTCCCTCCTTAAATTCCTCGTTTCCCACTCCCCACCGGGGCTCACTCCCTGCGGGGCAGCCACACATCACCAGTGTAACTTCCACAGAAATCAAACAACCTCCATCTCCCAGCCTGCTCTGTCTCGTTGGTCTGTTTGCTTCCAGATGTCAGCTGGGTGAAATATTTCTCCTAATCAATGTTTTAACCTTCTCGTTGGTATTTATTCAACTCTGTTGAATATATTGTATTATGCTGAGCTGCATGGATGGGAGAGTAAATCTGAATTTTCCCTCTGTTCTCTGGAGACATCACAATATTTCCTATTAGCTGGGGTTATTGCTTTGCTAGTGTACTAATGAGCAGTTTCTCTACTGGAAACTGCATTCCTTCCTTCCTCCTCCAGCCCCCAAACAGACAGTTCTGAATTAGCATGGAAACTGGGCTTAATTTCTGGACACATCTCTCCTGTCTTTGAGTCTCTTGCTCCTCTGCCGGTAATTTGGTGTTTCCATCTGTCCATTTCCTCCGATCCTGCCTCTGATAATGTGATTAGCACCCCTACTCTGTGGCTTTTCATTTACTCTAAATTATTTCAGATCCCCTGTGCTGTATTTTCATTATTTAGATTCAAGCTATAATTAAGGAAGAGGCTGAATAAAAGAGCCCTCTTCCCCATTTCTCTCACCATGGTATTGGTGAGACACGCCATTTGGCATCTCCATATCTGGTTAGACATGGGGGCCATGTCTTTCACAGTGGCCCAGAGGAAGGAAACTTCAGGTGTGGTGTAGATGAGGGATGGCACTTGTTACCCCGCTTTGTGCTTAGTGAAACTCTACAGATGTCGTGACTTTGAAGCAGTTCATCTATTTTTATTATCTGGCGTTTATTAAATGCCAACCACGTGCTCTATTAAATACAGTGGGGTTCCGTCTGGACTTAGTTTGAGTCCTCAGACAACTACAAACAACACGGGTGGTGTACATTATCCCGGAGATTATTTTCCAAATAGTTTCTCCTAAATTATTAGGATGCGATCAGGCCCATGGGGTGGATGGCTCTGAAACCAGGCACCAATGTAAAATAAAGCATTGATGAAGAGAGCTAGGACAGAATGCCCCTGAACTTTTGACATAATATTGATTTGACCTGTAGTTTTACCTCAAGTGTGGGGTTCGATTTTCCAGCTCTTTGGGTCTCACTTTGTTTTTCGCGCCTCTAAGATGGTCTTGATCTTTTCATTTGGCACCATGGGAAGCTGGAGATATGGCTCAGTCTCAAGACAGGGGCCAGGAACCTTAAAGAGCCAGAGTTAAGGTTTTAGGTCACTTCAGCGGTACAGCTTGGTTTCACGTAGCCCTCTGCGTTCAGGTCCTGTGTGTGCACCGGGTTGGTAGCTGGTTGATGGAGTGGAACTGAGTTGTAAGCAGACCATTCTCATCTAGAGGCAGAAAATGCCACTTCAATTTACTAAGTGGGGTACTTCCCTACTGTGGCGATAGATGGGGGGCAAATATGGCAGTGTCTGTGAAAGCATTCCATAAACTGTGCAGTGCTGTGGATGTTAAAAGTTAGATTGTCCTAGTCAGGGTTACTTTTGCTGCGATGAAACACCATGACCGAAAGCAAGTTGGAGAGGAAAGAGTTTATTTGGCTTACACTTCCTCGTTGTATCTACCACAGAAGGAAGTCAGGACGGGAACTCAAACTGGGCAGGAATCTGGAGGCAGGAGCTGATACAAAGGCCAGGGAGGGGTGCTGCTTACTGGCTTGCTCATCATGGCTGAGTATCAATTGCTCAGCCTGCTTTCTTATAGAACCCAGGACCACCAGCCCAGGGATGGCATCACCCACAATGGGCTGGGTGCTCCCCTATCCATTGCTAATTAAGAAAATGTCCCACAGGCTTGCCTACCACTCAGTTTTATGGAGGCATTTTCTTAATTGAGGTTCCCTCCTCTCTGATGACTTTAACATGTGTCAGGTTGACATAAAGCTAGCCAGCACAGCGATGGAGCAGAGAGGTAGATTTTGCGACTACACAGGGACAGCTGAAAAGGCCTAACCTGAGAACTCCTGCTATCCCATCTGAACACATTCCTGCGTGAACCAAACGACTCAGTGCTGGACATTGGATCCAGGGCCTGACACGTGGTAAGCCCATGTTCTACCACTGGGTGACTCTGTCTTCTAGTCTGCTTTTATTATTATTTTATATTCTACCCCCTCACTTGTTTCCTTCTTCCTGACCCATTTAGACTGTTTCTTCTCTCCTCAGAGGTCTCTTCTGTTTTCATGTGTGTATAGCATGTGTGCATGTATGTGTGTGCATGTTTGCCTATGTGAGTCAATGTGCACATGTGTGTGAAGGCCAAAGGTTGCTGTAGGATGCCTTTCTTCATTTCTCTTCTCTCTTATTGGTAGGATCTCTCCCTGAACCTGGAGGTCAGCAATTTGGCTGGTCTAGTCAGCTTGCTCCAGGGATCCTCTGTCTGTCTCTCTCTCTCTCTCTCTCATGGAGTCGGGGATTACAGGCCGCCCACCACTGTATAAAGCAGCATTTACATTGGTGCTCAGGATCCCAACTCCAGTCCTAATACTTGCACAGAAAGGACTTCATCACTGATTGTGTCTCCTCAGTCTGTACACACACACACACACACACACACACACACACACACTAAATAAGCAAATGAATAAATAATAAAAGGACATCTTACACCCATGAATTCACACTGAGGAATTAACACAAAAGATGGGATAAAAATGAACATGATATCTCAACACGTCTTATCTACTGCTTTTGTCCTGAGTCAGATTAAGTCTCCTGCTAAAAGGACAATGGTCCCCAGTCCCTGAGCATTAGGCTCTTGAGTAAAGCTCAGTGCACACAACAATAACACAAAAGTCGGATGAATCCCAGCTGTCCTCCAACTTCCGATGGCACACACTGCTTCACAAATGCTGACTAAGCCCACTGTATGGTCGTCTTAAATATTTGGCTTGGGGACTGGAAAGATGGTTCAGCTGTTAAGAGCTTAAGAGCACTTGCTGCTCTTGCAGAGGACCAAGTTCAATTCCCAGAATCTCATCAAGCAGTTCACAAACACCACGATGCCAGTTCCAGGAAGATCTGCTGCCCTCGCACCTGCCTGTGTCTATACATCCCTGGAAAGGTCAGAGGTCAGCCCTGGGTATCTGCCTCCATCACTGTCTACCTTATTTTTCTGAAACAGATTCTCTCACTGAAGTGATTTGGCTAGACCAGTTGGCCAACAAAAGCCCACGAATCTGGCCATCCCCACCTTTCCAGTACCAATTACAGCCCAATTTTATTTTTGGCACGGGTTCCAGGGATTTAACTTAGGCCCTTGTCCTTACAGGGCAAGCACTTGACTGGCTGAGCCACTCCCCAGTTCCGTAAAGTGTCAATTTTAAAAACGAGCACTGCTGGTCTTATTTTAGAACTGTCATCCTCTTTTGTGGATATGTGATCTGTCTCAACAAGGCCATTAATGTTATTTTCCCGGTAACACTTGAGTTTGTCAATACTATTGCTTTGGTCAATAGAGCACTTAGGTAATTATTGCGTCCTGCAGTATTGAGCATCTTCACTGTACTTAAGGAAAGGTACCCATGTATCTAAAAACAAGGTCCAAATACACAAGCCAGTTGCTGGGTGTTTGGGAGAAAGGGATGCTGGGAATCTAAGCCAGGGCCATAGAAGAGTGGTTGTTTTTTTTTTTTTTAAACTTTTAACAAGAAGGGTTGTATTCTCCAAAGATTCATATTCCTTTTAGTCTTGGGCTAAGGAGAGACTGGGAACCCAAGAGTTCAGAGGTGGAAGATGCTTCATGCAACCTCCCAGTGTACTGGAGTGCCCTGTTCCTCAGGCCGTCCTGGCAGACAGCCATCCGTCTGCTTGTATACTCCCCATGCTGGGGAGGTCATTAGCTTCCTAGGCAACTCATAAATTCTTTCTTATTTGAGCTAAAACCAGCCCCTCCATGGCTTTGATTTATTGGTCCTGGTTTGGAGCACGGTAGGGAAGATCTTAAATATTTGAATGCGGCTTTGGTCTCTTCCAAATTTAGGTAATTAAATTCTTTGAAAATTGAGGTGGCTTTTTTTTCTGGGGGTGGGGCTGGAATCCGAAAGAACAGGAGTGGTCCTTTCTTCCGCTGGGATGAGTAGGAACCTGGCCCGGGTGACAAGGAGTCCTACTCCCCTTTCCTCCTGCTGTTCTCAGTTCTTCAGAGTGTTGCACTAGATTATGTTTTCTAAAAGTAGAAAGCATGCCCACTTTTTCTTTCTGTCTCCTATAGTGCCTACCACCTTAACTGGCAAATAGAAGGGGCTCAGTGGAGCTGACCAAAAGGACTGGCCAGCATTCTGTTGAAATACACAAACATGGAGAAAAATGTACACGTGAAATATAAGTAGATACACACACGCACACATAATACATGCACATGTACATATAAAAATACAGGTACAAATCCTTTTTTTTGAGATAAAATCTCACGACCTTGAACTTCTGATCCTCCCTCATCTACCACCAGAGTGTTGGGGTTACAGCAAGTGCCAGCAGTCCTGATTTATGCAGTCCTGGGGATCAAGTCCAGGGCTTGGCGTGTGTTAGACAGGCAGTCTACCAAGTGAGTTATATTCTCTAGCCCTGTATGAACACTTAAACACTACAAACCTTCAAATAACTTCACAACAGCCCTGTGTCACTTCCAGATGGTTCGCAGGAAGACTTAATGCTACCATTCCGACTGAACTGTACCCTGCATAAATTCAAGATGCCAACTCCCCGGGAAATAAAGGAACTGTCGTCTTATTTTTGACATCCTGGGACAGGTCATTGCGTGGAGATGACAGACCCTTTGCTCAATACTAGCTTCTGCTCGAGTGACAAGCTTTGCTCCTGGGTAGTCCATGCTGCCCAGCTCCTCACCCTCTTACCTCCTGGTCTGGTCAAGTGTGTTGTCTCCTTTCACTCTGGGGGATGGAGAAAGAAGACACCATCAGGTCGAGGAGATGGAGCTTCTTCAATCCTTGTTCACATTTTACCCCATCTGAGCTAAGACCCCCGCCCTTTCTCACTGTGATTATTGCCCCGCTCACTTCAGGCGGTGGGTGTCCTTCCCGAGCCAAAAGCCAGACAGTCTGAGTCTTAGGCCAGCTCTGTCACTTCCTTCCTGGGTGGTTTATTTCTCTAATGTGGCAGAATCACTAGCCTAATGGAACCAGGTGAGGAGGGACAGTGGACCTCAGAAGAAGTTGCTGGGACAGAGGACCCCCTTGATGGTGGGGCTAGAGGATACTAGCACCCCTTTCCCAGACCAGCAGAGTTGTGGAGTAGACCTCCAGCCAAAGTGCAGATGGGGATTCTAAGTTTTTAACCCACAGCTAAAGCCCCTCAGCCACAACTGTTGAATTCCATAAATAACATTCCCCTTCCCCCCCTCTTGCCCAGCCTCCCAGTCTGGATGATGACCATGTGTTGGGTGGTCTTTGGTAGATGTGAACAAATGTCTATCCACTCCAGACAGACTGAAGAAATTATTCTACCTAAATCTAGCTTTGCGACCCAGTGAGTTTGTTAGGGTTACTTATGTGGTGGTATCACCCCATGAGTGTTGACTCATAAAACTGCATCCCTGGAGCTTGGTGAACAACACGTAGCCGGCATGACCTATCAGAATCTCGTTTCCTCAGCAACTGCTGCAATAATCCAGGGCAGAGTGTGTGAAACGTACACATTTTGGGAGCTTCCTTTTAAGTGTTGTGCATTTCCTGAGACTTTTACATTTTGTTTGTTTTCTGAGACTTTGCAAGGAAGTAACCACCTAACACCTTGCACCCAAGTTAGCTGCACACGGAGCACAGCACAGCAAATACCTGAAGTGGGAATGGGGTGAAGTGTCATCTACATACCCTATGACCAACTGCACAGGGCAGTTCATGGATCTGTCCTGGTTCTGCTTTACTTCCGATCCTGGCAAAAGATTAATTTGTTTGTTTGTTTTTTATTTTGTTTTATGAGACAGGATTTCTCTGTGTAACAGCCCTGGCTGTCCTGGAACTCAATGTGTAGACCAGGCTGGCCTCGAACTCAGAGATCTGCCTGCCTCTACCTCTCAAGTGCTGGGATTAAAGGCATGCACCACCACCACCTGGCTAATTTTTGAAACCTTTAGAAAATACTGTTTTAAAAAGTTTTAATTATGTGTCTATGTGTGCAAGTGCAGGTGCCTGAGGAGGCCAGAGGGGCCAGATCCCCCTGGAACTGAAGTTATGGGCAGTTGTGAGCTGTTTGGTGTAAATGCTGGGAATCGAACTAGGGTCCTCTGGAAGAGGAGTATGCACTCTGAACTGCCGAGCAGCCCACGGGCTTTCTTGAAGAGCTAATGGCCATGACAGTTTCTCTCTTTTGCTGAGAGGGAAGTGAAAAGTGAGACCTGTATAGTGGGGATAAGTCAGGGCTTCACACTGGGGATCAGAGCGGGGCTGCAGAGCTGAGACACTTGGACATCTCTCGAGGGCAGTTTGGATTTTTGTTTTAATTTTAGTGTGAGAAGCAATCTTTATGCCCAAACTAATGAAATGGAGATGAGAGGTGCTTGGGGGAGGGAGCTGCATTCTAATACAGCGGTCAAGTGTGGGGAGAAGCCTCTTAACACTCCATGGAGCCTTTGCAGCCAGCTCGGCTGAGCCAGGTGGCGGCGTAAGGCTTGGGAACTACGTGTGTTCACCTTACATGCCACATGTATTTGCTCTTTGCCAGTACATGTCCATCATGCCATTGGCCAAAGCTATTGTATATTCCAAAGCTTGAGTAAAAGCCAAAGACTATTTCTTCTTCTAACATCAATTCTGTTTACAAACTAGTTTGTTAGACGTTATCTTTTACCAATGAACCATGTTTCCCTCCAACAGGTGGCAAGGACGCAGGATTTCTTTCAATCTGGAATTTGAGAGAGGGGTTCTGATAGGGTCAATAGACTTCCCCACAGTATGGATGTATAGTCAGGCTCTTGCTTCCTTCAACCTCAAGGTTTTTCACTGTGAACAACTTCCAGTCTGGATTCTGCAAAGACATCAAATGTAGCAAGCACCCATTGTGTCGTGGTTCCTCTGACCCAGGGCCAGTCTAATATGCCAGAATTATGGCACCACCACCATCACCCCGCGAGCTCTTCTTCTGTAGAGCTTGTCCTCTCTTTGTGAACTTCTGACAAACCGTCACAGGAACCTTGGGAAAAGAAACTGCAGCTACGTTTGATGGGAGCAGCCCCCAGCATGATTAGGGGTTTTCCTGGTGTGGCTGGCGGCCCAAGCCCCAGGACTGAGGAGCAGAGAACAGGTTGTGCTGAGCAACTTTCCAGAGATGACTGACAATCAGAACTGGCGACAGGCAGTGGCCATCCATCATTGGATGACCCCAGGCCAAGGCGGCAGCTGCCGGAAACAGACATGAAGATCCTCAGGAGCAAGAAACAGAATCAAGACCCCAGGTGCAAACTGTCCTGTTGTGAGCTTCTGCCAGCCTAGACATGGCTTCCCTACAGCCTTTGTGGTGAGAAAGGGGTTGGAAGCTCTTCAGGCTTGGCTTTCGCTCAGTCCTGTCCACCAGACTCGGCAGCTACCCTCTGATTGGTCCCCATTCTATGCCTCATTTGCAAAGACGCAGCCAACCAATCATGATGCCCCTTGGTCTCTATAACTCAGGTGCATGGGATGTCCGTTGTCAAACTTCTGGTGAGAGAGGAAAGGGGAAAACTTCTTTTGCCCTTCAGATCCACTGGAGACGGTCCACTTCAAGAATCCTGCTTTAGGGACTGACCTGCTGTTCCTTCTGTCCCAGACATGTCACAGCTGGCACCAGCTTTCCACAGACTTGCTCTTCAGAGGACTGCTCTCCGTTGGCACCCCAAGGCTTGCTGGAGCCTAGATCTGTAACTCTTGCTGGCAACCTCACGGTTGGTATTGAGCTATCATCATGAAGTTTGGACCTTGCATTTTGCTGTTTGAGTTGTCATTCCTGGGGGGTAGCCCTCGCCTATTGCAATGGTCGCTCCCGTGAAAATAAATCCCCCCGTGTTTGTTCACCCTTCGCTGTCTGCCCATGTCATTTTTGGAGGGGCAGGGGGAGGAGACAAGAACTCAGTTGGAGACAGGAGAAACCACATTCTCCCACTGAAGATAAAGTATTCAGCTTCAGCTGGGCGGTGGTGGCGCACGCCTTTAATCCCAGCACTCGGGAGGCAGAGGCAGGCGGATCTCTGTGAGTTCGAGGCCAGCCCGGTCTACAGAACGAGATCCAGGACAGGCACCAAAACTACATGGAGAATTCTTGTCTCAAAAAAAAAAAAAAATCAGCTTCATGGCTGTAACTGAGGCAAAATACAAAGAGGGGAGAGGCTAAAATATAAATATGGGAGAACAAGCTTACAGGCTATTAGAGCAGACACAAAACAAGTAAGTAAGCATAAACCCTAACAAGTACAAGAGAAAACCAGAGAAAAATGAGTTCTGCTGGGAAGGGATCAGATAGTGAGGTCGGAGAAGCTTCTGGCAGGGATGATTCCTAAAAGACTGGAATGGTAAAAATGCACTTGCAGGGGTGGGAAGATGGCAACCACACACGTGTGCACACACTCTCTCACACACTCACCCCCACCCATGGCCTTGTGTGTCTGTGGGGAATTCCAGGCAGCATCCAGCGTGCTAAGGCTCAGGAGCACAAAGCAAGGTGAGCAGCGGGGTTGTTTTGTTTAGGGACAGAGATTCATGTAGCGCAGAACTTGTTTTCAAACCTGGCCATGGAGCCAAGAATGACTTTGAACTGCTCTACTTAATAAGTGGGATTACAGGCGTGAGCCACCATACCCCGTCTATGAGGTCCTGGGGATTGAGGCAAGCACACTACCAATTGAGCAGTATCCCCAGCTTCAACGTGCCTTGGTACTGACGAAGCATGCCGTGGGAAGAGGTGGTAGCAGGGACCTTTGACCCATGCTAAGGCGGTTTGGACTCAGTTTGACCTTATGGTAACATGGGGTCCGTGGAAGGAAAGGTGGCCCATGTTACCTATACCCCTCTGGCAGTTGACTGAGGAAACACTGAAGGGAGCCAGCGCCTCAGACCTGGAGTCGGTTGGAAATGGTTGGAAGAGAGAGTGACGGGTGATGCATGGACAAGTCACGTGGTCGCTGGGGGGCTCGGATGGCCCCATTTTTGCAAGCCGGTTATCACCAACTTGCGTTGAGTCTTCTCAGGTGCTTCTGGGATAGAGCCGGTAGGGGATGCAGGGCAAGCACTTCCTTTTATGGCTGTACCTGAGGCCAATACAAAGAGAGAAGGGCTAAAAATAAACACAGCAGAGCAAACCTGTGCAGGCTCCAGCAACCAAAGAACTTGGATCCACCAGCTAATCATGATGGCCAGGTACACAGAGTCCTGTCTGTCTCGCCCAGCATGGGAACTGGCTGTGAGTGATGCTTCAGGCAAGAGGGCCCTGTTTCCCATCTCCTCGGCTTTACCATTTAAGATGAGAGGCCTGCTCTTGTGCTCTGATCTCTCCCTACTTCTAGACGTTACCTTGTGCAGGGCTTGAATCTGGACACAAGTGACAATGCCTATGAGGAATATAGACGGAGTGTAAGTATTGAGTACCTCATCTCCTCAGCTAACCATGGGGAGGGGGCAGTCAGGAGGGTGGGTAAAGAATAGCCAAGGTAAAGGTAAAGGTAGGCTTCTCCGGCACCAGTTTGCAGGGGCTCCTTCCATCTAGGGGAAGACTTAAAGAAGATCCATCCTTGCAGGAAGTGAAGAGATCGAGGTTTTCATAAGGCAACTACTAAGGTTACCTCTAGCCACCAACAGTTGTGGAACTGTGCCAAAGACCCCCGCGCCCCCATCACGCCTTTCTTGGCTCATAAAATGAACTTCCAAGGCCAAAGAATATGAAGCAACATTTCTCATACCTAGTATTTTCCTTTCCTGATTCTTAAGTGTCCGTTGTACTGATCTCGAGTTCTTCCAGTAGACTATGCATGTCACTTTGAAGTCACCAGATATCACCCAGTCAGCTTCCCTTGCTTTTAGAGAGGGAACTGGAAATCATGGGAATGCGATGTGGCTTATCCTGGTCACGGGGATGCCTCTCACTGCGGCCATCCTAGGGCAGGTATTGCATATGCTACTGTCCTGTCACTCACGAAAACAAGTTCTAGCATTCCAAGGCAGGGGAAGGCCCTGCAGTGAAAGCTCAGTTCTTTAGAGTCCATTCACCTCAGGATGGGAATGTCCCATAGGCTATTTTAAACTCATTCATAAGACCCGGTTAGGTTCTGCTGGGCAGTGGTGGCACATGCCTTTAAACCCAGCACTTGGGAGGCAGAGGCAGGCAGATCTCTGTGAGTTCAAGGTTTGTCTGATCTACAGAGCAAGTTCCAGGACAGCCAAGGATGCACAGAGAAACCCTGTCTTGAGCACCCCCCCCTGCCCCCCTCCAAAAGAAGGTGGGGTTAGGTTCACCTTGACATTTACCTTGCAAAGCTGATGTGAAAGATTTTGGAAATGATACTTGCATGAGTGCTATAGTCTTGACATACAGTAAGTGTTAGATAATACTAGACTGAAGAAATGGAACTCTATCCAACATGGGAAACTCCTGTCCAATATGGTGGCTCCCATGCCCAAAGAGCACTCATAAAACCCAGTCTGGCAGCGAAGGAGGGAAGAACAGGATCTTGCAGCCGCATTTCTCCCTGGCGGCAGGTAACTCGGGGCTGGCTCAGCCTTGCTGCCCGCTCAGCGTAGGCAGTGTCAACAAATATCCTGCGGTCTGTGTGTTGTCTTCTAAGTCCGGGAACTAACCAAGTATGTCTACAACAGTAGTTCTCAACCTGTGGATTGGGACCCTTTGGAGTTACAGGGGTCTCCTAAGACCATTGGAAGACACAGATTTTTACTTTACAGTTCATAACAGCAGCAAAATTGCAGTTATGAAGTAGCAATGAAAATAATTTTATGGTTGGGGGGTCACCACTATGTGAGGAACTGTGTTAAAAGGTCGCAGCATTAGGAAGGTTGAGAACCATTACTCTAGAACAACCCCTTTACAGAGACTTTGGGGTGTGCCAGTGGTTGGGTGTGAGGGCAGAGGGTAGAAGATAGGAAGGTCACGGGGCTGATTTCTGGATTTGTCCCAAGCTGAGACTCTGGGTTTGAAATGAGGAGCTAATAGATTTGAGAAAGTCACGTGTCCCTAGGCCTTCTGTCTCCTGTTCTCGTCTTTTCTAGCCTACTTTTGCAGGTAGCTGTGATGCAGTCAAATAAATGATCCCTGAACCTCATGCCAAGAAGCTTGGTTCCCTCTTGGTCCTGCCCCCTGCTCCGGGTGAAGGCTGGACCCTTCACCTTTCGTAGCCCGGATTTCCTTGTGTGTAGCATGAAGTGACAGCTCCACCCAGGAGGTCTGTGTGCATAACCCGGCGGCCTACCAAACATGAGCTGTTGCTCTTGGCTTTTCTTAAGCAAAGCCTCCCCAGCTCCGCGCCACCACCGAGGAGGCCACCTTCCCTACACTTCGTCCCTCGCTCTGGTCCCTAAAACGCCACCAGGAGTCGCCCTTTGCCCGCCGAAGCCGGCCAGGCTAATAATTCCTCCGGGCCGGGGCGGGCTGCCCCTTGGCGCAAGGCTGTGGAGTGTGCCCCAGCTCCCTCCTTGGGGTCAGTCCTCTGCAGCGCCCACCCGGAGCCCCCCATCTCCTGCTCTGCCCGACCAGGGCGGCTACAAGTTTGGTCCGGGCTGCTCGGGTCCTCCCCCGCTCCACCGCCCGGGTACCTAGGCCCCGGTGGCCAGCGAAAGCCCCCTCCCGCGAGCAGAGACGCAGGCGACCGCAGCCCCGAAGGGACGCCCCCTCCCCGGCCCGCCGTGTGCGGGGCCGCCGCAGTTCCCTCATTGCCCGCCGGGCGGCGCCCCAGCGCCTCTCCGCGCGCCTCCCGCGCTGCCCGCTCCCGGCTCGCTCGCAGCCGGACACAGACTCTGCCTTCGGCTGCTGGCGGATCGAGCTGGAGCCGCCGCCGCCGCTGCGGAAGAAAAAAAAAAAAAAAAAAAAAAAAAAAAAGGAAAACAACAGCCCGGCCTCGGGCCGAGCAGCGTCGGGTCCCCGGCTCGGCGCCCGGAGTGCGGAGCCGCCCAGGTAAGGGCAGCGGCCCCCGCGCCGCCCCCGGCCCGCACCCTGCGCTGTCCCCGCGCCCCCCGGGGCTGCGCCGCACCCCGACTTCTGACGTCTCCGCCGCTCGCTCCCTCCGGGCCGCGGCCCGCACCCTGCCTGGCCCCACTCCCGCCTCCAGCTGCCCAGTCCCCTGCACTCCGATGCCTGCGTCCCCCGATTCTCCACCGAGACCCCGCCACCCTGCCCCGTACTTCCTCTAGTCTCCATCCCCGCCTGCTTCGCCCCCTGCGCATCCTCTCCTCGGTTCCGACCCTCCCGCGGTGATCCTCCCTCTTCCCTGTCCAACTCCCAGCCCAGCCTCTGCCCCCTGCAGGGATGACGGCCCCTTCCCGACACTGGCGATTCTCCCCTGCCTCGTCACCCTCGGCTTCTCCTGCGGGCCGCTCTTCCCCGCCACCGTCCCCGGTCAGACCTGCCCGGCTCCCAAGCCCCCTTCCCCCTTCCCTCTTTGCCATCTGTCTTGACCGCCCCTGCCCGGGCCCTGGACTCCGGCCACCACCACACCCCCAACCCTGCACGCCGTCTTGCTTTGGGCCAAGCCAGCGTCCTATCAGAAATGACTCTCCTTCCTGCGACTAATGGGCCTCTTAGCCATCCCACCCTAGTTCACCCGAGTGGGAAGTGAGGGAGAAACTCTGGAGACCTGCATTGGGCGCTGGAGGGGGGAAGGGGCTAGGCGGAGGGGGAGGGGAGCTCAGGAGATGTTCTTCAGTGAGGACCCGGCAGAGCCTGAGTGGCTCCGACCTGGCTGAGGGTGGAGGGCGCCCTGGTGACGGCCGGGACAGGGGGTTCGTCCAAGGCGCCAAGAGCACCTGTGCCTCCCTCCCCCGGCTCCCTGGAGCTGAGGAAAGTGAGGGAGGAGGT